ACTATTTTTGTTGACCTTTGTCCATGGAAGGTCCCTGCAAAATTTCATTGAAATTGGTTCAGGGGTTTTGGAGAAGAAGTCGAAAATGTAAATTGTTTACGGATGCACGACGGACGACGGACGACGGACAACGACGGACAAAAGGCGATCGCAATAGGTCACTTGAGACTTTGTCTCAGGTGACCTAAAAAAAGATCAGTTACTTGTTACATTGCTCCGGCCACAAAGCATAAAGCATTGGTATTTAACAGTCAACTTTTCCCTCTTTCTCTGTTCGTGAGTTTTGTTTTTGTTTTTGTTGGTGTAGAATACATTGGTATTTATTTAATTTGATCCATTAGCTAATTCTTATTTCAATGTTTCTTGCTCATTGGTCAAATAAATTTGATTTTGTCATTATGCTTTCAAAGAGAGAATGCTTGTGATCTTGAGGTCAATGTTGATGTTTTGCAAATCCAGTAATTCTGCATCTGTCTCAATTCAAGGGCAGCATCTTGGCTATAGCTTCGTTAGTTCAGCTCCTCTGATTTCCAAAGAAAAGTCCACACTAATTATTTCATTAGGATTTAGAAAACAGGATTTTTCTCTCATGGTAATTGTAATTAGGGCCCAGCATCTGAGGTGCAGGTGTGGCATTAGTAATTGTGAAGTCTGTCTGTCCACCCACACTTTTGTTTCCAGAGATTTTTCTCAGAATCTTATAGAAAGACTAATTTTTCGGAAATTTGACATAGTTTTACACTGTGATATATATGTGGAAATGCTGTAAGGTTTTAATAATGTCTAAAGTCAAGGTCACTAACTAAAAATAGACCACGGCAGGGCCTTTGCTGACCTGTCGGTGTTCCAGTCAAGTTCCAGAATAGAGAAGTTTGTAAAAAGTCTTTCTCTGAAGATCACAGTATGGATTTACTGTAGGTTAGTCTTCAATGTTTCATGGTTCTCCTTCCGACTGGATTGATGAGGTTGGGTGGATTAGGTAGTGAAGAGTTGTTTTCCCTTGGTTTCTGTGTGATTATTTTCCTTTCCCGATATTTTATGAATCAATTTATAAACAAAGTGGTGGGAAATTTTCATATTCTAGTAATGCTGCTGAATCAGATTTTTTCCATGTGATTTACAGTGAACCTGAAATTAGAGACAATTTTTATTTGTTTTGTAGTTTCAAGTGATGAAATTGTATTCAATCTAAACATGACAATACACCCACATGTATATATTCTTAGTGGAACCTCGCAAGCCAGGACACTTTGAGTTCCATATGGAATACCTTTATTAGCATAATCAAATTTTAGCACCACACTGAGGATAGCATTACAGTATTATCACAAATTAGTGTATAAATTTTCTATGAATATGATGAACTTCAAATTATTTTGTTGTTTTAGTTCTGTAAATTATCATGAAGACACATGAAACAATTAAAGAGATCCCAGAGAGATCTTGGCGCCCACCATTGTACCTTCTTCATTCGATCTTTTTCAGTTCAATCTTTTCTCTTCTCTTATCTGTTTGATCAGTTTGCCTGTCTGCCATCTTTATCAATCTTTTTATCAACCTCGAAAGTTAACATGCATAACTCAGGACCAAGGGGAACCTACATATCAAATTTAAGAAAATTTCCTCCAATAAATTATTAGAAAAATCGCAATAACAAACTTAAACTGTAACAAGATGGCCGGCCAATATGCTTTGGTATGCATAACTGAGGACAAGACAAACCCTTATGTGAAATTTGAGAAAGATCTCTCCAATATTTATTGAGCAATAGTGCTAAAAAACTTTTACTCCCAAATTTATTATGACCATACACCTACCAGCCGTCTTGGTTTTTCAATCATCACCAAAATTCAGATGCTGAACTAGGAACCGTTGGGAACCTTCATGTGAAATTTGAGCAAGACCCCTCCTGAACATTCTGAGAAATAACGCTAAGAAACTAACTCTCAAATTCAAGATGGCCGTCTGTTGGCCATCTTGGTTTTCCCTTCTGTCCCAAAATTTAATATGTGTAACTAGGGACCATGGGAAACTTTCTTGTAAAATTTGAGGAAGACCCCTCCAGGATCCAGAACTTTCTGAAAAAACAGTGCTACATGTAATCAACTAACTCTCAAATTCAAGATGGCTACCTATCGGCCATTTTCGTTTTGTGATCAGTCCAAAAAAACAATATGCGTAACTAGGTATTATGGGAAACCTTATGTGAAATTCGAAAAATATCCCTCTAATACTTAATACTTTTTTTAGCGCCAACAAACTTTCATTCTCAAATTCAAGATGGCTGGCTGTCGGCCATCTTGGTTTTGTGGTCAGTCCAAAAATACGATATGCATAACTGGGTTTCATGGGGAACCTTCATGTAAGATTTGAGAAAGATCCTGCCAGTACATTCTGAGAAATAGCGCTAACAAGAATTGTTTAAGGACGGACGGACCACAGACCAAGGACGCAGGGTGATTTGAATAGCCCACCATCTGATGATGCTAGGGTCAGATGGTGGGCTAAAAAGGTTTACTGCTAGAATCCATAGTGAATAAGGCTATTACATGTACTAAAATAGGCATATTTATACTAAAAGCTGTGTACTACCCAAGGGTTTAAGTGAAGGTATATTTACAGTATAAACTCTAGACTATCAGGGGCTAAAGTGAACAAATTTGTATCTGTAATATTCAAAGTCTTGGGCTTTCTGTACTTAGTATTTAGTAGGTATAAGGACTGAAATAATTCCTGAAATTCACCGTTTTTCTTAGAGAACCTAGCTACCGTATACAAAGAATTGCTATACTTACAGTTTAACCTTCCCTATATCTACCTCTGTAGCGAGGGTGAATTTACTGTGATAAACATTACAACATAGCATTCTATACAGTTATTTCACTGTAAAGAACAAAATAAACATGGGTTTTATTGCTAAAGGGCAATTATTTTACAAGATTTACAAGCATATTTTTCACATATAACACAGTTGTATATATATATATATGTAAAATCTGTTTTAAATTAGAGGGATCAGCCTAATACTGAACATGTACAGTTGTATATATAGTCCTATCACCGGTAAGATGTGGTAGTCGCTAGTATATTGGTGTATTGTTGTTTTGATATACATGTAACAGGTTTTTTCTGTTTTATCTGATCTGTTTCATATCAGCATCAGAAATCCTATTTACATGTGTCAAAAGTTGATCTAAAACAAATTCACTTAATTTGTTTTTTAATGTGTATCTCTTGGCTTTACGTTTGCACCAAATCAACTCCGATTTTGTGAACTTTGCCAAAAGCGCTATTGAAGTTAAATATTTTGATACTTGGATGATCCGACAGTTTGATACATACCTCATTGAAACTTTTTACAAACTAATCAAAACATGATGTATTTAACAGAAATTTGTAGGGAGATTTGTTTTCTTTCTTTGACACAAATGCAACCAGTTTTCATACTTGCCAAACTCTCCCTATTTTGGATGGAGACTCCCGATTTTGGACCCTCAAATTGAAGATTCTCAACCACTATTTTCTAAGATCTGATGATTTCATCTGAAAGAACAGCTCAAGAGATGCCATTTGAAAGTGTTATTTTTTACCTGGGGGTATTGTACACATATTTTATTTATGCTTTTAATTTTGAGCATGTGCTATCTCCCCCATGGAAATTTCGAAAAGTTGGCAAGTATGAATTTGTTGACACTTCATGTCATATTCGGGGGTGATTCTGCATAAAAAATTTTTTAAGTGGAAAATGTTTATTAAATTTTATGGTCGAATTGGTCGAGTGGTTAACACTCCTGCCTACCACGCAGGCGGCTGGGGTTCGATCCCGTAGTCGTCATACGCACAGATATTCAGAGAAAGTGTTTTTCTCCTGCAATCACAACTCCAACAACCCATCCCCGGTGGAGTATCAATTGGCCTGGGGTGGATGTTGCGGTATCTGATGTGGCACTATTCAAATGATGCCGTTGGAAGCATGCATATATGATCCCACTACAAACATAACTCATAACATCTCCAGCACACACGCAGGCATACACACATAGGGAGATATTAGCCAGGTGGCATAGGAGTAGTAGTTACCGGCTGATAAGGCAGCTCCTGCGAATTCCTCAAAAATTGTATTGATTAATGTATCTGCTAATTGTATTACGGGTAATTGTATTTCTATGTACTGTACAGCGCTTTAGAGTGGCTTATGTTAGCTAGATAGGGCACTTTATCAACTGTTGTATATCATTATGTTTTTTGACTGCTTTGTTCTTGAAATTCTGTACAAAAAGAGGTATGTTTCACACCAATATGAAACTGAAAATATTTTAAGAAGAGCAGCTAGCCTGTAGATGTTCCCACGGAACAATGCAATCATGCAGTCAGGTCCTCCGGTGAAGATAAAAGAGAAATCGAGCAAAAACAACAAAACTCTTTGTATAAATATTACAAATATATTTTGTCTATTTTGACATTAATGATCTATTTAACATAATAATTCTATTTGGTCTTGTAGGAGAGAAAATGTACAAATAAATAATACACAAGCATTGTACAGGGTACTTCGTGGTCTCAATATATTATACACTTGGTAAAAATCGACCTCGTAGTAACGATAATGTAGTTTATACACCAAACCAAATGTCTTATAAGCTGACGGCTATTAGCGCTCTATACACCCCTCTGTATATTAATGCAAATATCGTGGGTTTTTCGGCAATTTTTGTCTGTGTCTATGTATAATGAAACATATGGTATCTATTAAACCCGAATTAATGTCCACGAATCTCGCAGTAATGGAACTGTATAGAGAATTCTGCACAGCTTAAGCATCTTACACCTGTCGTTGATTGCATATTGCATCCATAAGCTGGCAGTAGACGTTCATCAGACGGTACCTGCTAAAAAGTTTTCAACATTTCTTCTCGTTCGAAATTGTGTAAAAAAACAGTACGCAATGCTGATAAATGACCTCTGAATCCTTTGAAAATATTAGCACTATAATGAAAAAAAAAGATACGAAACTGATTTTAATCATAACAATAATTAATATGAATACAAGACCAGGGGTATTCCTGTAAAAAATAATTCATTACATTACTCATTAAAGAATTGTTTAAATTTAAGGCAGATTCCACCCACACATAATAACACATTTGAAGTAAAAACGTCCATGAAATATTCCGTTTGGCAGTGAGGGTTTTTTGGTAAGACACAAACGCCTTGTCCGGGTACCATTTCCTTCTTGGCAAAGCACCTCTCAAAACAACACAAATTAATATTCAAATGACCCACAGAAAAATGACATATGCAAATTCAAAATATATAAAAAATATACAAAACTCATTACAAAATTTTACATAGTTAGGATATGATTCGTCTCCAAATGAAGAAATCTTTTGCAAAATATAAAGAAATGAATGTGCTTGCATGATTTTGATGTTAGTATACAATGATAACATGAATTCATCTCACAAATTTTGATTTGCATCTTTTACATTATTGCAATTTTTAGTTTGTTTAAGTCAGCAGTTGAAACCAACATGGCATAGTTATAATGTCTAAGTATACTGCAAAATTGTGGTCAATTATAATCAAATCCTCCCCGTCAACCTCACGCGATTATATACGGCTTTTGAAGATGTGATCCGAACCGTTTGTTCATAAAGTCTCGGCATCGTATCGTCCAAACCTCACTGAATACCTCTGTTGACAATGTCCAGTGACCACCAAGACAAATCTTCGATTCGTGTCTGACAACACAGCGCACATTTACACGTCCGTTTTCTTGGACTTGGATCGACACGAGAAACACATTAAGAATTTACAGTCAAATTTCCATCCCTGCTGCTCAAGCAATATTTGATCTTTCATGTCGGGGCTATCTGGCTTTAGTTGACCCTGTCTTGAGAGAATTTCCTTCAGTTTTTCTTTTCTTTGTTCCAATTCTTTTCCCTGTGGAATATCAAAAAAGGATTTTCTTTGTAGAACAACATAACAGAATTTTAAGCTTAAAGGTGCTCATTTGCACATTTGTATCAAGAAACACAATTACAAGAAACACATGGAAAAATTAAAATGTTAAAGAACTGATACACATGTACGGTATGGTACATAAATGCCTTATTAGCTAGCTGTAAAATTGTGACATATCTTTTGAGATATTTAAATATTTGAAAAAAATTGAAAAGTTTTAAAACATTCAACAGGATTGTCCTTCATAATTTCATATTTTTTGAGAAAAAAAGAAAAACCATATTTGGCATATCGTTTGTACAGAAATAAAGCTTACCTCATCTTCAGCCCTGCGTCGCCCGAGCCTTTCAACGTCAACAACATCGTAGCGTTTTATTTCAAACGGCTCTTCCTTGATCTTCTGTATTTGTCTCGTGTCTACCCAAGCTTTCGGAGAAGGACTTGTCTTTAGCGTTCCTGATGGACTCTGCTTTCGGTTTTCTGGACTTTCTGATGTTCTGGCAGGAACGGAGCGACTTCTGCGTGAACCTGAAAATAACAATTTTATTTCTCCATTATATTTTTTGGTCATTAACCTACATGCAACCATAATTCAATTTTCTTACTTGGTTAATTTTCCATACATACCTAATTGAATTTCATTATATCGCTCCATTAGATTCCATTTATTTTAACTGGTTTGAATGAACTTAATAAAAAGCATCATACAAACTCGGGCTTCTATGAGAAGTAATGTATTTTGGTGATTGGTAAATGTTATGTATGTCATGATCCCAAATTCAAAATTCATGCAAAATTGTTCCAAAATATTTTTTTCTCTCATCTAATTTACGCTTTAATACATCTGTTTTTCAAGCTCGTAGAAATCCCAAACATCCACCCTCTCTCAGCAGTTAATGACTTATAGAAATAGGGGCTATGTCATTGTGTATTGAAAGATATTAAATACAGCTCAATTTCAAAGTTTATCTCATTAACAACTAACTGGGTATGGAACTGGTTAACCAAAAACCTCATCTAACACTTTGTACCGATGGACGTCTCCAAATATTGTTTGAACGGTTTTGGATATTCATGAGAAGTGACCCCTTCAGCTCATTTGAGACAAACCTTACATAGGTAGCAAGGTAAAAACTACATGTAATAAATTCGACGCAAAATAGATGTTAATTTATCCAGGTAATTAACTGTTTATGCTAATTAGAATGTTTTTATTTTTTCATGAATCATATATACGTAAGACGTAGAATGATTGACAAAATTCTGTACTACCGCGACTACAACAACTATAGTACGGAGATAAAATAACACCAATTTGTATGGGGCGATATGTTTTGGGGCCCAGTTTGCCCCCTTGTTTTCCCAGCAGTAACCAATTTGGTTATCAAAAGTCATTTTTTCTGTTGGCTAGGTTTCAGCTAAAGCTAATCAAATCTTTTCATAAAGGCTGAGCGTAGAGCAGCACAGAATTTATCCTGTAATTCAACCTGTTTTTGCACCAGTAATGAATTCTTCTCCCAGAATTAAATCCAGGGATACCTTCGAGGATCTAATTATTTTTGCACCAGTTGTTGCTCCAAACATTAGGTAACATGAGCCGTCCACAAACGTCTCACATTGATATCAAACAGTTATTAAACGTTGATGAGATCCAGACACCCAACCTTGTACAACGTTCCCAAGCTAATATAGTGTTTTAAACCTGGCCATAACACTCTCCTTAAAAACCAAGCATGATAAATGGAATATCTCAAATTTGAAGTAAACAACGCAGTATTATTATGAGTGCTTTGGTTCAAATCCAAATGTTTTGATTGTCTGGTGATCTGGTTTTATAACTGTTATTACCAACAAACTACATCAGGGCTACGACCGGCAACACTCCTATCACGCGCTGTTTACTTAACTTACAAAGATTCAAATCTCTAAAGACTTGAAAACTAATTTCTAAATTAGAAAAACAAAATCTGATATTCAAAACAATATTTCAGATTGTGATTAAAACAGTTTTTTGGTGAAAAAATATGTAAAACGAAAAAAACTTGTAAGGAAGAATCAAATGTAAGCTCAAAAGATTGAGTGTTATTCAATAGTACTTACTTGGCCTTTTTCGTCGGGAACCTTTCTTTTTCTCGTTAGAGGATTCGCTGTTGCTGTCCTCATGAGCCGATGATGAGGCTGTAGCCTCACTATCCCTTAACATACTCTCGTACCCACTACTTGTTCCTCCATGAATTTTGTCAGACTTGCAGCCGAGTTGTGACCGGAGTTCAGCACTGACTGTGCTGCTGTTGTCACTTCCGTGTCCACTACTGGAGTGACTTGGTGTCCGTGGTTTGGTCACTGTACTGTAAGGTGACAACAGTTTATTTTCGTTTGTCACGATTCCGCTATCGTTACCACTGTCCGAGTCCGTCCCTCGGCTTGAGTTTCTATTGAGTTCTGAAATCCTACCATTGCCTAACTTACTGCCCTTGTTTTCCTTGTTCCCCTTCCGCGTGTTCTTGCACGAGGAGAAGATTGGCAGACGACTACTGAGTGGCGATTGTGACTTTGACGATTTAGAAGATGTACTACGAATGGTAGATGTACTTGAGGGGCTACTGGTAACTGGTAAGGAGGAGGACCGCTGTGACGAGGACGATGACACGGACTGTAGTCGCGCAGATTTGTCCTTGTCACTGCGACCTCTACCAGTGCCACTCATGGGAATGGAAGAGTTCTTACTGGATGTGGAACTAACAGACTTTGGACTTGTTGAGATGTCCTTCTCCTTCAAACCACCCGATTTAGTTGGGCTTTGGCGAGACGGACTTGGGCTGTGTACCGATGACTTTGATGAAGGTTTTGATGGAAGGGGTGGTTTCGACTTTGTACATCGCTTTGAATCACAAAACTCTTTGCCTAGACCCTCAAGAGCTTTCGTAAGGGCCTCACTGTGTTTCGGCAAACTTGCATATTTTGAGGTAGAGTTTTTCATAGATTTGGTATCCACATCCATTCTCGGTTGACTAGCACTAATTGAATGAACATTATTGATGATATAGTCCCCTCGCACAAAATCACCATCCATTTTTCGTTCAAAATTAAGTTCATTAATTAAATTTGGATTTGACGCACCGTCTGGTTTCCGAAGAAGAGGCCGATTCATACTACCACACGGGATATCCTCATCCCTAAAGTCTGATGGTGTACATTCAAAACTGCACAGTTTTTCACACACAAGTTGTTCATTTGAAATCATTGGCTCTGCTAGAAGAGTTTTTATACTTTCTATGGTGGAGGAATGAGGGATTCCATCCGCCCTGAGGAGTAACGGTTCGTCCTCCATAGCCTCCTCCTCCTCCTCCCCCTCCTCCCCCTCGGTCAACTCATTGTCCTTATTGCACGACACACTACTGAACGTTTCGTCATCCGGCACATCACTTGTGCTTTTTTCAGCACTTCGTTCTAATTGTTCATCCATTTGAATTTCATACATAGACTCCCGGTTCGACAGTAGCACGTTACTGAATTCTGTAGTGTCCACACTGCTGTCGAAACTGATGTCTGCGATATTGCACTCCGCCATTACATCAGGCTGTCCATCAGCACTACACCCTGACTGGTTATGTAAATCCTGCGACTCCATCGTAGTGTCCTGAAGACTACTACAGGATGACACGTCCATGGATGTATTGAGTGTCCTGTCGGACGACTTCTTGTTAGCACAATGTCCCTGTGTTTCCACCTCCATTTCTTGCTCCATGGAAACAGATCGGAGCCATTCTGTTACACGATGTGTCGGATTGGCATTGCCTGGCAACTGAGACTTTTGTAATTTTGGCGTGGACTCGGTAGTAGTTTTAGTACCTTTCCTACCGACTGCAGGTGAATTTCGTGGAGAGTGATGTGGAGATTGTTTTGGTGTTGAAGAACGAATCTTTTTCCGTGCTTCGGGTTTAGGTCGTTTATATGTTCCAGAAGCAGATGTTTCCAAATTCCCAATAACTTGGTTTTCTGAATCTACAATAAGACCTATACTGACATCCTCCATTTTCCCCTCAGCCTTCAAAGCACTATGTTTTTCTACCCAGTCCCTAACAAACGGTTTGATTGGTTGACCAGATTCGTCAACCTTCAACTGTTCAGTGTCTATTGCTGCACCAGAGCTGTGCATGCTAGTTGGTCGCGAATCTGCAGCCTGCGCTGTTATAGATGCACCACTATCAGCACTAGCCATGCTATCGGGCCGGTCTTTTATCTCGCAGTTGGCCGGGTGTTTGGCCTTGACCCCTGATTTAGGACCGTGGCTTGGTGATGATCCTTTTGGTTCTAGGGAGTGTTCCCGTGAATGTTCCCGAGAATGTTCCCGAGAGTGTGCCTTGCGGTCAGATCTCCCATGTCCAGATGCCTTCCGCCCTTCCTTATGGTCGGAATCTTGCATCATTTCTCGGGGGCCATCAACCCATTGTTCTTCAGCATCCATTTTAGGGTTGTAAAGATGTTTGTTTTTGTTTTGTTCCTGTTTTAAGACGAAAGCCTGTGGTCCATCGACCCACTGTTCCCCCGTCTTTGGTGTTTCGGGATAGATAGCTACCCCAGGGCCATCTACCCATTGTTCCGATCGAAATGACGCTTCACTACCACCAGCCATTTTCGTATTCATGGCTGCCGTACGCGTTGACAAGGCTACCTTGTCCACTTTGCTAGCACTACCAGAACCATCCTCAAGTTTCTGAACCAGCTTGGTCCTAACATTAGCTTTTCGAGGTAGTTGCACCCCTCCAACACTTGGAGACATAGGCGGTGATTGAGCATGCTCGTTGCCACTTGCAGATAGTTCCCTGACTGGCGTTGACATTCGCGAAGGAAGCCGGGCCAGATTAGCACCTTCAATACTTGTCCCCATATTTGGCTTTCTAATGCGAAAGTCCGAGTGGTGGCTCCTTCCACTGTCTGAATTTGACCCCTCGTCACCTGATGATCTTGACCCTCCTGGTCGCCTTGGCAACCGAGGGTTGGTTCTAGGAACTGATCTAGGTGGTCCCTCATGGTCTGTAAGTTCCCGGTCGCTAAGCGACTGTCCATTTGCACCCACATATATAACAGTATCACACGACTGTTCACTACTTGAGGTATGGTCTGGGTCTGAATGCGAGGAGGTGTATAAAATGTCCTCACGAAGTGTTCCCATCCGAAATCCTCGAAATGGTCTCCGCAATCTCCCATCGTCCGTCGAACTGTCATCTGAACTTGTGCTCGAGAACTGTAAAAGAAAGGAACAGAACTAAAATTATTACTCATTATCAAAAATTAATTTCATGAATTAGAAAGATGTTTCCTTACGTCATAAACAAAAAAAGAAACACTTCATCTGAAGTATATTTATTTTTCTTAAAAAAAAATCAAAAATCTTTTTTTTAGCCTTTGCACAAAAGGTGAAACTTCAAATTTTTTAAGCATAATTGAAAAGATTATAAGAAATTATTTAAATTTCCAACATCATGAATATATTTTTTAAGTCTTTAAGATAAAATTTACCTTTGTCTTTCGTCTCCGCATCCTGTGTATCTTAGCAGCCAGCTGTATCACTTGAAGAGTCTCGTTATAATGCGGTACAGCAGATGACACATGGGCGATCATGCATGTTCTACACGAAATGTTTCCCAGTGAATCCCTCAAAAGCTGGGCAACTTTACTGTCCCTGTAAGTATACAGATAGATAAAAACACATTAAACAAGTTTCAGAGATTTTTTTTATCCGAAATGATTAAATGAAATATAAAAATGCAAAAAAAAAAAAAAAGTTTCATAAAAAATAGCTTACGAAAATTAGAATTACGGCTTAGCATCATGGGCACACCGTATTTTCTTAATGGAGTTAATATGGAGACCCGAGTTTTGTTTTGTGCCTCCACATACACTGCACCGTTCCAACACTATAAACTTGTGTATAAGAACTCTTGAGGGGGGGAGTCGTAGAGCGAGCGGAGTGCGCCTGGGAACCAACCAGTCTCTTAGCTATCACTACCTAACCCAGCAACAGGCGAAATGAACATCTCGCCACTCATCTGTATCAGATTAACTCAATATTTTCTCATCCACGCAGATGTAATTAGGGCCCAAATTAAAAGGGAAATGTTATGAGATTCCAGGTCCCACTTCCTTTCCCATTTTCGGGAGCCACCATTACAAGCGAAACCTTTGATTCAGACCTTCTGCCTGCTCCATCAAGTGGATACTCCACACATTAACACCACATAACTCACCCATTTCATGTTCACAGGCAGTTCGGCACAACGGAATAAACCAACATGTAACTTATTTGACATAGAAATCTAAATCGCTTTTCCATCAATATTCACTCGTGTAGCTGAGCGCATCAGGTTGTATTCGTCATAAACGTCTGATAATATTCGCTAAATCTTTGTAAACGGTATTTATATGATTCAGTTTTCCCTCCATGGTTCTAATGGGCTTAATTTTTATTTTACACAATTATTATGTTATCGAGACAAACACGTGTTTTCAATTATCGCCACCAGCAAATTTAATAATATCTTTCTCTCCTACTTCTACGGTGTTTATTAGTTATCCGTTTTATACCAAGGTGCTCCAACTCTCAATTAAACTGAGAAAAAAATAAATCATTTTGCTTGGTACAGATTCCTGGATTCTCTTTACACATCTTACCATTTAATATTGCATTTATAATAAAATAAAGTAAAATCAAGCTCTTCTACATCTTTAAGGAAAAAACCCAGAATTTTATTGATTTCTTAGCCTTCTTGAATTGTTTCCGAGTTGTTAGAAGTAACTGGCTTATCCTCATCAACAAACTTGAGTTTGCAAGCTCCTATTCCGGTACAAATTTGTCTGCTAATAAAACAGTGTTGATGAATGGGAACTCTCCAGAAATGGAGGTTCATTGGAGCAACAGGAGAACATCCATCTCCGATTTATTGACCAGTGCTGTCAGAATGCTGTACATGTTCCTTAATTGATAATTAATATGTTTCAGATTTATGGGCCCAAGTTCTCCTCTATCCACAAATTACTGTGGCTGATTTCAGAGAAGGTCCCATATTATCAAGTTTCCCCCATCTAGCTATACGCAAACCCATTCGTCACCAAGCGCATGAGATATGATGAACAATCACTGCAGTGAGTTTTTCTGGCAGCGTAGAGCATAAACTTCTTGCTTTATGAGTCAAACCAATTTTTATTTTTCTGCACGTCATTCTTCATTCAGAATCCAATAAAATTGTCGTTATGTATTTAACTTGGCTCACTATGATACAATCTTGGGATTTTTTTCCCGCAGGACGACAAATCTTTAGATTATATTTTCTGTGACGAGAGATCACCATTCAAGACAACTACCACGCTACATGTGCAATCCAAATAATTGGCTCTATGATATTAAGCTTACTGTAAACTTTTTTTGCGTTGTCTGGATTTTGTGTCAGCAAGGAGTGTATTTAGTCCTTTTCATGTTTCTTATTTTCACAAACCATACACTCTATCTCCAGAAATCAAACGACATTTATTCAGCATCTTTAAAAATTTATCATAAAAAGCTATATTAGTATCTTTTAATAATTATATAAAACTTTTTTTATATGAAAATAAAAACAAAAATCGAAAAATATTTTCAAACAGCACTGAAACTTTTCAACGTGAGAGTCTGTTATATGTCAACCAAAGTGTGGAACAGTTTTGAATTTTCGAAAGATGAACTCAACAACACAATATGAATTAGATTTGTACTAATATGAAAAAACAAATCACAGATAAGAAAAAATTCAATCACCTATTAAATCAGAATGGATTTTCCTGGGCATATGTTTTGGATTATACCAAACATCAATTTGGGTTTAGGAGCTTTAATGAAACAATTCTGCACACAAAATATTTAGAACTATTTCATATCACTAGTGGCTGAGCCTTTAATCAAACTAAACCTTGTTACTTTGGTAAGAAAATTTCATTTCCTTTTTTAATTTGCAGAATGGATTAAGGCAAGTTTCTTAATCAAATCTTAAAATTATAATTTCGGGAGGGAGCTGAAATCGTACCAACCGTATCAAAACCATATGTTGCCATGCTATTAGGAAGGTCGATGGATCTTTCTGGTGTTGCAAAACATAGCATGATGATCCGAACGTGATTTTAAAGCCTTGCTAGCTAACAAGCTTCGAAACTACATTTCCAAAAATTGATTTTTGTGTAAAATATTTAAAACGTGAAACCTTACAAATACTTTTTTTCTTCTTCTTAGGAATATCATTTGAAATCACCTCACATGTTATTTAAGGAAATCTAGAAAAACAACATTTTGGACAATTTTGTTTTTTGAAAACTTGTTATTAAGCTGACAATTCGTAAATGAATGAACTGCAGATGTAATCTTTTGATGGGGCTTTTTTTGGGGTATGTACAGAGATCTAAAAAGAAGGGGAAAAAATATTATATAATCAAACGGAATATATCGTAAATTGAATATGGTTAAATGCGTGTTTGATCGAGGGAACTAAAAGTGCATGCTAGAAATTTGGCGTTTCAACTTGACCTTGGGGTCATGCCAGGAGGATTAAATCATAATAAAAGTGCCTTTTAGATCACAGAATCAATATGCAATTTAAAAAAATAAACAAATACCAATCATATAAAAATCCACTACATTTAATAAATTGCAGATCGAGAAACTATCAAAATATCAATTTAGATAGTAATTTTTTAACGGTCTTATGTACCATTAATGTTTTCTTTCCGGAATGTTTTTGGTACAGATGTACATGTATATGAAATATGTTATTTCCAGGGCAAGGAAATAAGTGAACCTTGGAGTCGAGGCTTACTGTTTGTCCATTTCATCAATAAAACACATCAAATTGATGGACAGTGCCAATATCCCGTTATAACATGATGGCGGCCACGAAAACTTCACACCCGCAAACCATGATTTACGCGCATGAGTGTTGTATACATCTATCCGGGCCAAACGTACTTCACTAAGGACATAAATATTTCATAATATCTGCAAGATATATATACCGGGCAATTTGTTATTGCTCTCCACAAATAAACACATTTACGTCCATCTTTCTGAGAGCTTCTTTGCTTTTCACCCGAGTCGGAGTGTTTTCAATTGTACATGTTCCTATTAAATGAATGTGCTTTTTAACGACCATGCATAACGCTATAACCATAAAAAAAAACTCTTCAATTTGTTGTACGAGAAATTTTCGGACGTTATTGGATTACCGTAATGGGTTGTGATGTACGACTTTTTTTATAGACATGGACACATATATAACGCCCAAGTACAGCAGGTCAATTAAATTACATCAATGGGCTTCGCAAATCAGAAATGGAACACCCCATTCAACACATTATGTTCATTTTGAAAGTTGTTTATTTTTCCGTGTGAATTGCAAGGGTAGATTACTCTTTACAGATATGACAGTTTATAAGTTCAGAATCATAAATCTTCTTTCGTTTAAACTTTGAATTTTGAAACTGCAGTGTGGGAAAGGGCTGTAATCTGTATTTTCGACAGAGGAAGCCAGGATAAACATATCATTTTTTTCTAAACCACCTGATGATCTGTTTCGGTCATTAGAAACAATCCCTTCGTCTGTAATATCCACATGTGTTTAAAATCAAACTTGACAAAAACCAGCAAACACAATTTTTCTACCCTCAACACTCCTTACACTTTTTCGGAAAGCAATTTATTTCAAATTTCTTTTAAAAAGAACGTTTTCAAGTTTGATATTATACAGTAAACATATTTAGAGTTTTATTTATTTGTAAAGAGGTGTGTCTGCAACTTACATACTTTACAAACTTATCATTTTAATACTAAGGTCAGTTACTACAGAAGCGTATATGTTATTATATGTTTAAGGGTGCATGCTACCTTATCGTGATATGCATACCTATAAAATGACTTAATTTTGAATGGTAATTTGGACAGCAGACACACATAAAACTGTGATCAAACTTACAGTTGGGTAATTTACGATCGGACTTGAGAAAGCATTAACTTTCAATCAATACCTAAGGGGACATAACTCTTACATAATTTACAGGTATTAACTCATTCACCCCTGAAGACACATTTGAACTCTTCCAATTCAAAGGATGGAATAGTTTATTATGAAATTTCAGGGGTGAATGAGTTAATTAGTACATCTGTGAGAATTACCAGATGAGGTAATTGATTTACCTGTGAATTACTTTATTAACCTGTGAATTTCTTGATTCACATGGGAGGTATTTAATATGTCTGGGAGTACTTGACTTAGTTGACAATTTCTGAGACTTACCTGTGAGGTACATGTCGCTGACCATTGAGCAAGGCCATGATAACATTGCCGAGCGCTGAAAGACTGAGCGAGACATTTCCAGGATCTTTGGATTTTGAGGAACTTCCGAGGTCAATCAAATGCAAACGACTTCGTCCACCAGCGACTGTTAAAATAGAATTATCACAACTGTGTTAAATATTTCAATGTGTGTCTAAGAATTTAACAAAATGCATCTTAAATAGTCAAGTCTTTTTTCGAGATCAACAACCTGAATTTTTTCCCCAGACCTTTTCTTTTTCTATTAGAGCTTACCTTCTCTATTGGGCAGCTTTTATAGATATCACTACATAATATACAAATCTGACAAGAGAAATCATCAAAACAGATTTTTTCAGGACACTAACAAGCCTTAATTACTCCCCATCAAAAAGTTTGTAGTTTCTGGGTAATAATTTGATAAAACAATATTCTATAATTTCAGGAATGACCTATCCTTGATTTCCATCATCAACAACGTATGTTTATTGTTTTAGTAAACAAGATAGTAATTCTACAGAAGATGAGTAATACATTATGATTCAAAATTGTGACTGTCATTTTCATAAAGTAATGTTACTACTGGTAATTTTCATTATCTTATAGACCGTTTTCTCCGCACCAGTAGCCGGAATCCACTTGACACCCACGAATTATACCCTAATGAAAGACACGTATATTTCAGTCGTTCAGCGGATTACAATTGCCCCGTCTACAGCTTGAAAACATTAGTTTGAGTAACTTTTTTCTGGAACTGCGCGGTGACAATTACGACGTCGATTCAACACCGTAGGTAACAAGTAATGAGAAAAATGATGAATTCCGTAGCACGTCTGAAATCATGGGGTTGTTATGGCGGTGAAACGTGTATAAATAAATAAAGTAGATTTGTGTTGATGGCTACGTAGACTATTACCATGTAGATTGATATTAAGTGTTGCTAGTCTCTGTCTGTAATGTGCTATAGCTCTGTTAATTACTTCGTCAGTCAGACCGAGCTAGGCTGGATTAATCAACAGTGCTGGCCCTGGCTCTAAACCCTGTCACTTGCATTGGTATGGCAGTTTTAAGCGGCTATACGGTCTGCTATAAGCGGCTATAAACCCACTCGCTCATTTTCGTTATTTAAAACTGAACTCGAGTGTTTTAATTGAAGTCCATGTAAATCTAGATGTTGTGAAGAAAATGCTCCTGTTTATATACAGTAAAATCTTGACATATTATGGCCCTGATTTCTTTTTGGCCTCAATAATTGTCCCTATCTGAGGGTCCCCTTTTTGCTTTTTTGCTTTGTAAAGTTACCTCTAATGCCGAAAGATTACAGGACCATTGGCGCCGGTACCGTAGGGTTCAACATTTTTGTGACAATTCTAAAATGTTTCACTGAAACTACTTAAATTTTCATGTAAAAAGTTTTATTCATAAAAGGTAGTAATTGATTGAATGGAGTGTGCCATTGATTTGGATGTATCAGTTGCATGCAGAAGTTACTATTAAGATGAAATCTACAGTAAAAGGAAATTTAACACAAAATATTTTCCACAGGTGATCCTTACCATCATGAAAATATATATTTTGTAATTAGTTTCCCTTCTCAGAATTTAATAACATACGATAATTGTGTTAGAAAATGATTTTTCAATTGAATGTCTTAATTTCAGTGGATAGAGACCTGCCGAGCGTATCATGTTGTTTCCAATTCTAAGTTTTTGCTTGTAGATAGTAAATAAACCAATTACTTTGAGGTCTCAATCTCTACAAAGATAACAATGCAAGATAATTCATTTTTTTCTCACTCCATTATTTGTGCATGCGACTTCTGTAAAGGGATGAGTCATATCTTCTCTCAGTTACTATCTCACACGAAATGTCTCTTTTGGGCGAGTAAAAACGCTGTTTTTGCAATGTAAAGCAATTATGTTGGACACATTGCCGATAAAATTACTGAAATTCTTTTAAAAAATGAGTAGCATTCTACATTTTATTTTTTATCTGATAACAAATCTGAAAACTTTCAACATACCTGGTAATTTCCCCCCCCCCCCCCCCCCAACCTCCACAAGTTTTGGATTTCTCCCCTTGCCTAAATTTGCTTTTCTTTTTGGAATCTGATAAGAACAGGCCCCATGAAAGTTCTGAGACACTGTCAGCAGGTTAACGCCCACACTAACGTTTTACTGAACATGTTGATGCCAGGCAATATCTATTATAACCCAAAGGTATGGCATATTCTTGACAGATTCAAGGCACAGAATGTCGGCCTTCCTTTGCACAAGAGAGCAAGATTCCTCACCAAAAGGCAGTCCCTGCACAATCTGCCCACCCCTTCCCGTAGCATCTGATGAAAGGTACAGCACAGATGCATTGCACATTTATTTGTGTCCTGCACATGTTGCTAACTTTTTTTTTCAGTGAATCATGAATTCTTTTCAGACCATAAAATCGATCTTCTAAAGTTTTTTTTGGGGCCAAATAGCGAGTCATATACGCTTTATCATCAAGTGGAACCAGTGTTACGCCATATTCCTCGCCTCTGAAACCCTCCACACATTGTAAAACCCCCGAAGGACACCTTAATTTTTCCTTTTTGCCGGTCTCTTGCGCTAAGTGCCAAACTCACGGAATCTGGTACCTTTCGCCTCGTCATCAAAGCAGGCGAGCCATTCCTGCTAAAATAACTATGCATTCTGACTCGTGGGGCAAATCAGCTGAATTTAGAGTGCAAGATATCAAAGACATAAGGGAACTGGATTGCTATATTTTTATCACTTCTAAGGAACAAATGACGGTCTTTCTCTGCCAACAAAACCCGAGAATGTAGTGGTATAGTGATCGGGAGTCGGGCCCCCGCGTGAAGTCCTATTGATCCCTGTTATTGTGTTTCGTACCGCTCCCAGTTCTAATTCGACTGCAAACAGAATAACACGTTCATTTCCATAGCAAATCAATTCAGCAGTATCAGACGGAATGCAAAGACATCACTAAATACAGCTTGTGTGTCTGTCGCTTGCATTTGCTGCCCAGCCCCCCCCAAGACACAGTTGGTCACATTGTGTTTTCCCCATTGGGGACCCCCTCAGACCCCACTTCTATTCTGCCGTAGCCTCCGTAACAACCTGTTGACTCCCAGTCCGATATGGCTCCGGAGCGGGGCCGTGTTCTGCTTGCAACAGGTTAATTTACTCTCGATTCAAGTTTTCAAAATTCAATTTGTCAGCTGATGAAACTGTTCCGTGATTGGCATTGGAAAAGCGAAATTTGATTTACACCTCGTCTCCGAGGAATATTGTTTGTCGTCAAATGCAACTGTACAACCGGTTGGAGTCTTGGGAGTGACAGTGATGAAGAGTCGTCGAAAGTTACACAAGTGCTATGATTAAACACCCAATTCCAAGTTTCCTGGATGTAGACAGGCCAGAAAATCTTGTTTGATGGGCGTTGTATTAGTGTCGGATTGTATGCCGTCACACCGCCATCGTTACCATTGTAATATTATTCTAAAGTGCTTTTTAGCGTACAATTCCATCGGCATGCCTGTTTCTGCCTATAACCCCGTAACAGTAAAGTCCAAATGAACTTGCACAACTCGAGTGATATAAATTTCCGCGGTTGTCCTTTCTCCCTATTTACACTTGAATTACCGCCCCGCTGACAGATTAATCGGACGCGATCCGCTCTCTATAGGAGACACTAGTGATTGCTATTGTCTCTTTCCTTAACTTGATCTAGTGATGTTGATGCAACTCTCAACAGAAATCATTTGTCCACCTATCATGTGCTGGAACACCGTATAATCACTGCATTTGTCATGTGAAAGCAACAAGTATCAAGTGCATTATCATTGTATTTCTTCTCACCATGAAAACAGCTACAGCCTATAACGAACACTTTTCTTAGAAATTATAAACCAAAGCCTAAAAATTTTGCGGATATTACTTGACATATTTCCGTATTACATAATCCTCTACCATGCACATTGGGTTTTACTTCCTGATTTTCATTGCAGTAGTCTAAGCTGATCATGACTTAAAGGTAAAATTTCATGTTTTGTTATAAATCTTCAATAATTTTCATTTTTTTCAAGTCTACCGAGCTGTATAAAAGGATATAGGAATGCTGGGAAGAAATATGGGGTACTAATATTAAGGTAATCATTGCATTATTTTGCAAGATTACATGGTAACCTCATTAACTTATTCACCCCTCAAATTTCATAATGAACTATCCCAACCTTTGAATTGGAGGAGATCAAAAGTGTCTTCAGGGGTGAATGAGTTAAAACTGAGATAAAGTCTGATTGTACAAATGAAATACATTCCCCCACCAGCCAACCCCAATTCCTTTTTTGTCTTGGTGAGTTTATTCATCCAAAGAACAAATCTCTCCAACATTTAACGACTATTTCAACACAAACATGAGTACTTACCCCCCAGGCAGACCCGCTCAGTTTTCTCTACCCCCTTCCAACAAAGCAACAACCACCCCGCCCCAAACATGAGCACTTACCCCCGGGCAGACCTGCTCAGTTTTCTCTACCCCCTTCCAACAAAGCAACAACAACCCCGCCCCCCCCAAACATGAGTACTTACCCCCCAGGCAGACCTGCTCAGTTTTTCTCTACCCCCTTCCAACAAAGCAACAACAACCCTGCCCCAAACATGAGTACTTACCCCCCAGGCAGACCTGCTCAGTTTTCGCTACCCCCTTCCAACAAAGCAACAACAACCCCGCCCGCCCCAAACATGAGTACTTTCCCCCCGGGCAGACCTGCTCAGTTTTCTCTACCCCCTTCCAACAAAGAAACAACAACCCCGCCCCAAACATGAGTACTTACCCCCCGGGCAGACCTCCTCAGTTTTCTCTACCCCCTTCCAACAAAGCAACAACCCCCCCGCCCCAAACATGAGCACTTATCCCCCAGGCAGACCTGCTCAGTTTTCTCTACCCCCTTCCAACAAAGCAACAACCACCCCGCCCCACACATGAGCACTTACCCCCGGGCAGACCTGCTCAGGTTTCTCTACCCCCTTCCAACAAAGCAACAACAACCCCGCCCAAATACATGAGTTCTTACCCCCGGGCAGACCTGCTTGGTTGGCCTTCTCTACCCTCTTCCAACAAAGCAACAACAACCCCGCCCCAAACATGAGTACTTACCCCCCGGGCAGACCTCCTCAGTTTTCTCTACCCCCTTCCAACAAAGCAACAACAACCCTGCCCCAAACATGAGTACTTACCCCCCAGGCAGACCTGCTCAGTTTTCGCTACCCCCTTCCAACAAAGCAACAACAACCCCGCCCGCCCCAAACATGAGTACTTTCCCCCCGGGCAGACCTGCTCAGTTTTCTCTCCCCCCTTCCAACAAAGCAACAACCACCCCGCCCCACACATGAGCACTTACCCCCGGGCAGACCTGCTCAGGTTTCTCTACCCCCTTCCAACAAAGCAACAACAACCCTGCCCCAAACATGAGTACTTACCCCCCAGGCAGACCTGCTCAGTTTTCTCTACCCCCTTCCAACAAAGCAACAGTAACCCCGCCCCAAACATGAGTACTTACCCCCGGGCAGACCTGCTTGGTTGGCCTTCTCTATCCGGTACTGATATACGTGCAGTGTAAACAGAAGATGTGAGGACCGACTTTCTTCCTCATCTGTAACAACACAAAACAAAAAATCAAAAGATGAAAATCTCATTCCAGAAATTTGGAAAAGACTCTATATAAAATCTGCAAGGATCTACCGTCCTAGGCTGCAAAAATGCGATTCATTTTCCTACAATTTGATCACAAGATTTCAAAGACCAATCGCATATTTAAGTCTCAAATAGGATTTGCGGAGAAAGCATTAAGATGATTTTATCACAAGGGAATCCATTTTTTGGAATAACAATACTTTTAAGTTTCGAATGAGATATGGAAAAGTAAATCAAGAATTTATCTATATACACTCTACAATAATGTTTTACCATAATGATGATGGCTGGATCGCACAACTTCACTCCATCCGAGAGTTTTACATTATGATTAAACCAATAATGCTCACACGACTTTGTATACGACCAGCCGTTAAAATATAGTTATGAAGCATCAGATATGGGTCCTGTACTCTTTACTGTAAGCACAGGAATTTTACTCCGGGGACTGAACCACTTAAGTCGTAATGGCTGCCGCACAACGGCGACAATGAAAACTTCTTAAGAAACCTGTTGTGGCCATTGGAGAGATTGAACAAAATTGCCTTCCTCGGTCATAAATTGTTTTAAATCTGCCCCAATTTCATCATTTTTTCCCCTGGTCTAAATGGATAATTGATGGATAAAAACAGAAGCATAAAGCTGAAGAGTTGCTATACGAAGTCGGATAGCATCTGTTCTAGATTACCCTAACTAGTACCTTTGTGACTCGGGGTTTCCTACTCTACCCTTTTCATTGTGTCCTTTAATCTGAAAGCCATATAGTTCCGCATCAAAGACATAATTCATATCCCATCAGAGTTGTACAATAACATCTTTTTTTATGCTTCTGTGGCTTTTTGGTAACATCCAACGCCCCCCCATTTTTTCTAAACGAGACCCAATATCCATTGACTTGGACTGTTCAAAAGATTTTTATGGGGAATGCAGGATGCGCAGGCCCCTAATCCCCGATTCCAAGCTCGAGTTGTTGTTGACCAGACTGTCTGCAGTTTTACAACAATGAAATCATATCCCTAGAATTACGATAACCAGAGGCCAAGTTCTTTGCCAAACCACAAAACGACTAGCGCCGTCCATGCATGAGGACGTTAATCCCATGTCTGATAATCAACCCTGCCTCCATTACAGAGAAAGGGGAATAATGGGGCAGATTTCTAGTAACGAATTGACATCAAAAGCTGTTCAAAAGATGAGCAACCTCTTTGACAGTGAGAAGATCAAGCCTCTATGGGAGATGAGAAATTTCTTATAAAACTGATATGTCAACAAGTTGATGAAGCCACTGTACTTTTAGAGTGCAAAAAAAAAAAAGAAAAAAAAGAGTTTCATTGAAGTTAAAATTTTAATTAAAATTTCTCTTCATTAACGTTATTATTGCATGTATGTATATATGCTAATAGCTTTCAACAGCAACTTGAGGGAAAATGATTTCTATTTGGGGAAAAAAAAATCCAAATTGATAAATAATCTGAAATTACAGCAGAGTTCTACATTCTACGATACCCTCGAGAACTGACAAAAAAATATTTATGCTACAGGTGAAGTTTAACCACCATGACAATAATTCGGCAAAAATGTTGAGACAGAAATTACATCAAAGCTGACACACGATAGACTAATTTTATCTTTGAAATGAAAAAAACCCACCCAAAACATCTACATCCCGTGGTGGCAGTGCGTTGATACTTGGAAGTAAACACGGGTTGTTTATCACACGAAGATACAAGGTAAATGACTGCAGATACCGGATAAATTGCCTGTCCAGACGATCATATCTGGTCCATATCTTGCGAGATAACATTAGCTAATAGACACTTACACATCATGGCCGATTCCTACAAACATGCGAGGCACTTTGTGTGCCACACAAGAATCGTTGCCAGTGACGTGTTAAGCACGCCAGGTTATGCATATCTGCTATTTCGCACACTGCAGACACTTATCAATGTAAAACAAAAAACGGAAGATCCGACCGGAAAACAAATTGTGGCACCTGACAACAAAATACTTTCATATAGGCAAAAGTCTGTTAATTATTCAAGAAGGGCTGATAATACTTCCATTCCATGAGTGTCTGTTTTACAAATTCTACTTAAGGACTGTTCTATGCTAAAGAAAATATATTTCACACAGCGAGAGATTTAGTCAAAGTGATACAGAAATTAATTAAGATACAGTTGAAATTTTAGTATTACCTAATTTTGTTCGGGCAGCGATGGCCGCGTCCAGGTAGTACGTGGCCCGTTCTGCTGTGGGGGCCCGCAGCTCGCTCTGGTTTTCTAGCTGAGTGCCACAAATCGGGTCCTCCCTGAGGTAAACCCCAGGGGCAGTGCCACTCCCTGACTCAACACCTGAAAACAAATCACCAGGGTTACAAGAGTGGCTCATAACTCATTGGAATACAAAAATATTATATAATCTCATTGTTTTTTTTAATAAACTGTTCATGTAATTGATGAAAACTATTTTGGAATCTTTTTTGTAATTATTTTTCAATTAAGACACCTACATTGTACAAAGCTTTGACAAAACACAGTATTGATCAACACTTTAAAAGGTTTTGAAAACAGGTAACCAAGATCATGCAATATTAAGTTCCCATATAGCTGTTTAGAAACAAATTTTCAAGGTGATAATTCTCGTAACTGAAAGATCCTACAAGTTAAGTTACCGGAGTTTCTTAACCAATTTCCCAGGTGATCTATAAAACCACACACCTGTCGGCAGCTAAATCCATGTCGGAAAATATTTCAAGAAAAAACTGCTTCATACAATGTCGGTGGTGGCTCTGTTGCAAGTACTATATGTCCCAGATAGAGTGGATAGTTCAGGGGGAGAGACAAGGTGCATAGATTATGGAGGAAAGAGAGTGGGGAGGTACGTACTGGTCTGGACTTGTAATTTACAGCCGGAATTTAGCCCTGGCACATGTTGATGTTTATGAGGCAATGTTCAAGCCATTGGGAGGCCCATTTACCAGTTATAGGCAGAGGTTAGCCGTTGGTACTTCAACATGCTTCACTGGTGTGATGCTCGCCATGTTAAAGGCAGGGGGGAGCTGTGGACCGGGTACACCTAGACTAAACCGTGGTGTAACCAATCACCGCCCAGCACTCCATCGGCCTGGTATCAGTAAACAGGTAGTCTGGTCTATAAGACATCATAATGACCTCAGACATCTGTACAGTCGTTGACTTGCATTGAGTTATTTATGGATTCTGTCCCTGGTCCATCGTGTACACATGTTTTTGGACTTTGTATTCCTCCTGGACTTTGATGCATAATAGCATCTATAGCTGTTATTCATTTATGTTTAGCTTTTGTGCTTTTAAAAATATCAGCTTTTAAAATCTGTTTTATGAACCCATTTTCAGTGCAAAGCATTTCAACCCGCAGTCAAATTATGATGCATTAATTGCAATTTCTGGAATCAATATTCTGCTAAGATACTTGAAATTCCTGGAATCTGCAGACCTGCAGGAACTTTTAAACACTGTTCCTACCTTCTTCATCGCTTGTGGGGTGAGAAATCAACATTTCATTGTAAGACGCACAAATAAACGACAAACAATCAGTGCAACGCTTTAATGAGAGAAACTTGTGGCAGAGACATGGCGGCATTTCAACAACTTGTAGGTTTACGATTCTGTGGGTTGTAATTCCGTGACAACCTTTAAGCAATTGCAGCAAACATTTGTGTGCGTTTTTACAACCGAAGTAATTTATTACTGACAGGCTATTGTAAGGATGTCGGCAGTTAGATCACTTTAGAACAAGATCGAGTTATACGTAAATTTTTTTGCCCACCTCCTAAAGAACTCTCCTGTTTACGAGACATGGCCGGCGTACCTGTATGATCAGGTACCGCTGTCAGACGCCGAAGCCTGCCAACGGACGCCTTATGCCTCAACATTACACAAAGTGTGTTAACATCCGTCACATCCAAGGGAGGTAATTAGCAATCTAATGTATACAATCAATTAACATTTCCTATATGGGAGATAAAATGCAAGTTGGCATTCAGCCCATGAGCTAACCAAAATATTGTTCCTTTTTACTTTTTGTAGTCAGCAATTATCCTGAGAGGATTTGTATTAAATTTTTTTGAAATTCAGAAATTTGAAACAAATACATCATTATAAAATATGAGATTTTCATTCATTTAGCTAAAACGATAATGAGATCAAGATATTTACATGCTTCAATGACTTTTGAAGACATTAATAAATCATATCTCGACACTGACAACTGGTAAAGACATTCAGAGTACGCAAAGAAGCTAGACCATGTTGGGATGGTTCCATAACCAATTATCAATATTTCAAATCAGGAACCTGTCATCCGATCTAATACATCTGAAATAGTCTGAATTGGAAACCAATTCGGGCTCTGAATAAGAGAAAGCACATCTTGTAATATTTCAGCAACAATATATCTTAGCGTCTAATCGCAGACCAATCTTCAATTTTTCGAATCAAGAGACTGCCATCTGATCTGAGCGTCTCAAAGAGTCTGAATCAGAGGTCCCAATCATTGCAATATCTAAAATGTCTGAATCTGAGACTTGGTGCTTTTATCTATTCGTCTGCTTTTGTGCCCAGCCTGACACTTATGTTTTTGACCAAAGTGTCATGTCCCCCATACCCACAATGGCGAGTGTTCTGTAATCACAGACTCCATATAACGGGTGCTGAGGAATTGAATACAGATGAAGACCGCTGCCTTCTGCCTTCAGTAACTAATACACCAGAGAAGTGTGTAAGGGAGCCCTGCAGTGGCTGCTACAGAGGCTGGCTGAGTTTATAAAAGGTGTACCAAGCTATCACAGAGTGCAGTTCCATACAGAATTAAAGCACAACACAGTCTATTGATTCCAACCTGCTGCAATTGTTCCAGAGAAAAATATTATATTGCGGATGCATACTGCCATGCATTTTAAGTCTTCAAGGTAAAAAAAAATACTTTACGGTAAACCCAATTACAACTTGGTACTAAACCTGGCTAATGAATCTAGTCATCCAATCAGGACACTAGCTCCTATACCCATACTAATTGACGTGTGTCGTGCCTTCGTAATGATGTTATTCAGGCGTGAGTGAGGATTTTTTGTCGAACGGTAATTCTTGTCTACAATACTGCACAATAGTGGACATTTATTCGGTACTTGATCGCTGGGAAGTGATGTGTACTGTTGGTTTTTTTAACCCCAAAGAACTCCAGCGGATCAAGGTATACATGTTATCTATGTATATATACAAAAATATCGTCCATTATGACTCAGCCCGTTCCCTCGGAGGACTTCGATACAGTAAAATGTCACACCGATACTCTGTGATCTTCCGTGTCTATTTTGGACAGCGAAAACCTAGTGTAGGTGCTTTCTTCATGAATATTTCACTGCTCGAGCTCAATTTAATTCCATTACTCCGTAACTAAATATTCCAGACATACTGTAAAGTGCATGGTGCCAACGTTTGACGGAATGGAAAGTGTGAATCCATGCTCCGTATCGTTCATACAGAGTCCATCAATTTCGCTGTCACACTTTTTCCAGGTCAAGGTTGCGTTTTTGAAAGCATTGGCGTAAAACTGTTGCATATGTTTCAACTGCAGTTGCTTCATCAGTGTTTTCATTCTGCTGATACAGCTGGACATCCAGGAATGCTGAATAGTTAATTGACAGTGATATGAGAAGTCGCTTTTTTCCCTCCACACACCGCTACTTGTGACAATTAAAACTTAATTGCAAACGGACGAATTGTGATCATAAATAAATAAAACCTTTTAGTGAAAAAGGTAAATATCCTAAAATCATGATAGTTTTATGAAATCAGTTATCAACTCATTCACCCCTGGTGAAAACACATTTGAACTCCTCCAATTCAAAGGTTGGAATAGTTCATTACGAAATTTCAGGGGTGAACGAGTTAATGCAAACTGCTTATTTCGATTTAGAAACAAGTTTTTTGGTGATGGGGAGCAAATTACCTGCAGCAACGTCAGAAAGAAGATCTTTGAGGCACTCGGCTTTTCCAGTTACTTCCACTGCGGACACTCGGACAGAGAATCGTGCCCCAGTCTTCTCCTTCTGTTCGTTGATGAGACGGAACAACCATGCGATTGCACACGGAATGATCCCTAACGTATGAGCTGATTGGTCCTGACCTACCATTGTATACGATTTACCTGTAATTAAAACAAAACACCTGTATTATCAGATTGGAGAAAAATAATTCAGGCTCAAATGGATTTGAAACAAGCTACCTGAAATTTTACAAATCCACTTAAAATTCACCTTTTTTAAACCTAAAATTCTTCTGAAACTTTGAACATTTTATATGCTTGGCAAAGAAAAAATAAAACATGCAAGATAGTAAATATACAGGTTTCTGAATAATTCTACACCTTTTAAAAAAAAAAGTGGATTTTCTAATTCACTATCGTAACCTGGCCATGGGAGAACACAATTTTTAAAGACTTTGATATTTCAGCTTTTAAACCGTTTGAAAAATATATTCCGTGCAAGACAAAATCAAGCAAATGTTCTGTTAAGTTATTCGATTTATTATCACTGAACGATTTTCAAAGAAATACAAAATATGTTTTCATCACAAATTATGAATCATTTCCAATCAAAATTCCCCAAGTAACATGTGGTTTTAGGGCCATTTGCTATACAATAACTCCGTAATTTCTTGCATTAGCATACCGTCACACAAACTGGTTCAGAATATGACAATGATATGTTATTTGCCACGGTCCACTGCCCTAATAGCGACTTGATTCCCTCTCTACGAGCATTTTGGCAGACCTTTAATTCAGAGAGCTACATGCAAGCACGTGCAAAGCCAACAAAATAACACGACCCAGGAATGCATTTCCCCTTTGGGAGATTTACCCCAATATGGACGCAGTCCTTTCATTATCGTAATGAGTATTCATGGATCATACAGAATCACTTAATTGTTTTGTACTCCCCAATACTTAAGCTCATCTAATGAGCCACATTGTCATGTTTCCTTAAGTCCCTTTACTCTGTTGGAATTCTAGCTTCGCACCGAGCCCTAAGACATTGATAATTTATTTCATTAGAGGGAAACTCGCCACAATAAAAACATGATCGGGCCCTTTCGGGGCTATTCAATAAAGGCATAATTGGCCTTTTCATCTCCAACTAGATGACACATGTTTTTGAAGAGGGACGAAAAATGTCTTGTCAAAATGGGAAGCAACAGAGCGCGACAAATTGAATTAGAAAACAATATCACTACACCATATCAATATGCAGGAATAGACATAACTGTGTATAGCAGGCACCGGTACTAATTGCCTTGACTATATTTCATTTATTCAATACAACGGCCTGTCGTTTTTGTGGCCGATAATTTAATTTCCACACGTTTTGGTGAAGATTGGATTTTCTGAGTCATCTGAAGTTTTCTTATAATATCTAACTTTATCAGAGAGCTAGGTGACTTGGTGACCAGAGGGTTCACTCGGTAACGCAATCTGCCGTCCAAATTTGTTTTTGTTCATTTTATATTCAAAATTGAATAAACTTTAGCCTCAATAGGTTCAGTCATGTGACGCATACAAGATACACAAACGTGTTCTGTCAGAATTCCTAAAATATACATAATAAACATCAACACTGATTGATGAATATGACACTTTTTTTCTGGTTTTCAGCGAGGGGTGTTCAGGAAAAACATAACGTTTATCATTCCGAAGATATTTAAAAAGATGTCTATACATTTGTTCTCATTTGAGAATACAAGATTTCTCCTGGTAATGTTGAAACTTTTCTCAAATCACTGGCAGAAGTAATGCCTTACACCGAATATGTTGACAAGGACCTATATATATACGTCAAGTTCAGATATCCGAGCTCCAGCATTGTACCCATATGGAAAATATTACAGGAGAAGATGGCCCCTAGTCTGACAGTTAAATACTACCGAGCTTCCTCTAATTACCAAAATTGATGGGTAAGACTACAATCAACACACGTGTGACGCATCCCCCTCCACAAGACTGTTCCAGGATTAAACTCGACAGACGACGCAAGCCAGAAGAGTTCCAATGACAAGGGGAGGCTATCATTATCTGGATAAATGTCAAAATTAGCCAAGGATAAAAGTTTTCCGAAATTCCTTGTGCTAACAGTATCAATTGTAGTGATGCTACGTTTTGATGTTGTACAAAATGTTTGTGTACGCTTTCAAAATGTCTCACATTCGTCACACGACCAGACTGCGGAATGTGCCTAACAAGACTTCCCATGAAAATTCCAACTCATGCAGTCTATTATTCAGGAATAATCTGAAGAATTCTCTTCAAAGTGACAATAGCATGTTTTGACAGTAGGAAGGCGGGGCAAAAACTGCTAATGAGCATTACTTTTCCCATCAACATGTTAATTACTCTAAAAACACACTTTATAATTATAAATTCGGCTGATAATTAAATTACCCATCTATCCATGGCCTACATTTAACCCCTAAGCACTTGCAAAATAACGTCCCTCAATAATCAGAAATTTTTAAGGGCAAAATATAAACATCCAGAAAACCATCAATTTTTCTATTTATTTTATTGCTGTAAAATAAACAAGTTTATATCAATTATTCTACACAAAAGTATTATATTTCAGATGTAAGAATTTCACCAGGCGAGTCCTTCAGAAGAGTTTTTCACTTGGTACATTCCAGTACTTATTCAATATTTTAACTATTAAGTTTAAGTAGTTTAGTCTTTATATTGTTTAAGTTTTTAATAATATCATTAATGAAAATCAAACTGTACTTAGTATTATAGATAAAATTTATTTGAAACAAGACTTTAGAATCGGAACACTGACATTTCTAAACTCATCGCAAACATTCCCATGGACTGGTATTTCAATCACATGTCTAACATTCAAATCAATCATATTTTTGTAAATGCTTAATTAAGCTCTAAGCTAAGTTAAACACCATTCCAGGGCCCTATCAAAATTCAAATTTCCCTTGACCAAGCATGTTTGGATTGAGCAAATGTAGCATTTTAGCTTGGGCTCTTTTTCACGCGCAATTAGCACAGGTCTTGGAAGTGTTGAAAGGGACCATCAAAACCACATCTATTCTCTGACCATAATGGTTTCTGCTTGTCCAGGGCCCTGATGAGCTCATCAACAAGGAACTGCATAAACCAGACGTTATCCCGTAGGATCTCAGCGGGGAGAGCTCATCAGCGGAGCAGAGGAAGATGGGAGACTCGGCTGGTGTGGTTTCTAGTAATTTAGTTATTGTTTCACAAACTGCAATCAGATGTGACCAACACACTCACAAACACAGGTATCAGTCATTTTGTTTTGTCTTTTGCGATACATTTTTTTCACTTATTATATTGGTGAAATATCTCTGAGCCCAAATGAAATACAACTTTTATGGTGATGAATCTGATGACTATGGCATTATAATCCTATACAATGCCTTTTGGAATACTTTCGCCTCAGTACAAGTATTGCTGCTAAACCCCAGTATAACGTGAAAACCCTGTAAAATGCCAACCCCATTTATAATATCAAACCTCTTTACAACATGAAAATCTTATATGATGCCAAACTCCTTTATTACCCCAATCCATTGTAAAATTTCAACCAAATTCATATGCCAAAACTATATCGTCAAAACTCCTTACATTGTTGATAACCTTCCAAATACCAATCCCCTGTATACTGACAAACCCCTTTATATTGCCAATGACTTTAAATGCCAGAAATTTTGTAACAGAATAGCAAGGTCTAAATCTGTTTTTTAAACTTTGCATACAAGACGGACTCCGAGAGACGTTATTTCATACAATACTTCTAATTAGATTTCACAAGCAGGAAAAAAACTCACTTTTATAATGAACAGTTTGATAGTGAAATGTCAGATTTCCTTTGATCAATTTATGCAATAAAATTGAAAATATGACGAATATTATTCAAAACTTAAATCTGACTCATGCCTCGAACGTTCTTTGGGAATTTCAGTTCCACTTGGTCAAAGAAATTAAAAAAATCTTTTGATATCAAATTTTGCCTAAAAAATATTGCCAAATAAATTGTTCTAAAATTTGCTTGATATTTTGAATTACAAATGATATATCGTTTATCAGAGGCTGTTGAATCATTACAACCCAAACCATTGCGCTTTTTATGTTTCTTTTTTTCAACATAATGAATGTATAAATTTCATCACGCTAATTGATTTTGACAAGGCTAAATTTTACTGCACGATAGCATGGCTACGGATGCACCTTGAGATTTTTTTTTTCCTTTGATAAAAAAACAAATGGAAAAGACTCAGGAAAACGTTTGAAAATTATAACCAGTTTCCTCATCATTAATGGGGAAAATTCTCTACACATGTGCCCATAACTACGATATGTATTTTATTATTTCCTTCGGAAAAAAAAACTAACAAGGAATGCAAATGGATTCTCTTCATGCAAAGCATCAGCTACTAGCCCTGATGGTCCATATTGTGATGTGGCGCTCTTCAATACAGAATATGATAGGGTTATGTATGAATTCATGCGAACATTATTTTGTACTTTATAGCGTTGCGGATTTTTGTTTTTCAATCTGATCCGCTGCGAAACTTTGATTACAGGAGGAGGTCCAGTAATGGTGAGAGTCCCAGGCTAATAATTCGTAATGTGGATACTCGTTAACTTGATCCGAAGCCTGTCAGAATGTCGACTTGGGGTGTGATCTCGGAAAGTGTGCAGCAGCATATAGCGTTTTAACAAAGTGTTGCCTTGCATGACACTTACAAGATGGTTTCTTGAATATAAATGGCCGAGTTTAGGTATCTCAATGGGACTAAGATCTTAACTGGATATTTATCAAGTTCAAATGCACTTTTATCACTATCAAATTTCAAAACTTTATCACGATGATGTTATGTTCAAATCAATAACTTTTTAACATTTCTTGATAGAGGAAGATTGCAGATGGGGTAAAAGGGAGGTAATTCGAGATTCTTTATATCAAGAATAAAAGATTGCAGACTGCAGAAATAAATTCTTACAAAAAAACCCAGATAAATATCGCTTCAGTTGTATTTTGATTTAGTCGACAGGGAACCAAAGTTCCGGGATTTTCTTGATGATAGAAAAAATCTTTCATATCTACGTTAAAGTTATTAATAAGTAGTGATTCTTCTTTTAAGATTTCTTTTTAAGACTTGCTGCAAACATGTAAATTTAAATGTTAGTGAGAAATCAGCACATTTCACTATTTTCTACACAAAGTGACCGTCTGCTTACCGAGTTTTGAGTAGCCGTAGGTAAACAGACATCCGTCGGCTCCGTTCACGACTCCCTGGATGATTTCCGTTAAACTACTGGCACACACCTCCGTCTATTTATAGAACAGAACAAAGAAAAGAACAAATACATCAATGGACTTTCTTGTTACAGACATCAAAACTGAACTTCTTTTCATCCGAGCTACGATAACGGATGTAGGTAAGGCTGATGGGAAGGTCCAGAATACTAAGGACATGGGAAGTAATTATCGTTATTTTTCATTGAGGAAAAACCCGAAGAAGACCACTTATCAGTAAAATTTCCACCTTGAATGAATAAAAGAAAAGAACTCAGGCTAACTATAGGTTACTTTACTTAATCACGATGTAATTAATGCATCAGATTTGGTAGGTCTTTGATGCTTTTGTCTTCAAGGGATGCCTGAACTCTCGAACCACTTCCATTTGTTGTTGTGGGCTACAAGATAATAATGCCACTTTCCTGTTTTACTGTTTTGCACTTCTGAACTTTTTGTCCAGAAAAAATTCTTCTTATTTTATTATTTCTCTATGATTTTCTCATTTTTATTTTTTTTACGATATTTACCTGTGAATCATCAGGTGAAAAGACGGCATCAAAGGCAAACATCTTTGGAGCAGTTGTCGTGGCGGTCCTCCGATGGGCTGCAGTTGTAAAGCCCGCCGCAGTAGGATCGTAGACTGTCACTTGTTTTTTGCGGGGGTCGATGGCTAGGAAGGAATTTCCTTGTTCTCCGTAATGAGTGGAGGGGCAAATCTTCAACATCACCTTCACCTGAAGTGACAGAAAAATTACATACGCATGAAAAAACGATCTTTATCTTCAATGCCCGACGTTGTTAACTTATCAGTTTTATACTCATATTGATAAAATAATTATTTCATAAAAATATGCATTGAAACAAATGTGCTACATGGGACACAGATTGAAATGAGAAGTATTAATTGTTTTAACTTCAAACTTCCATGAAAAGTTGTATATATCATTCCTCATTTCAATTTGTCACTTTTATCAATTACCAACAACATATTTCAATTAAGGTCCCCCTTTCCATCATAGCGATTCCTATATTTGTCTCCCTTGAGGCACCAACAATCCCCTTTGTAATGCAAAATGTTTCCAGGACAAACGGTGAGAGTTTAACAAACTTTTCTGGTAAATAAATTTTAGCGAGCGGTACTTTCATATTTTTTTTTCAAAATGATGAAACAATAATTATTCATCAAAATGAAGGCAGCAGCAGCATCAGTAGTTTCTCATCCTCAGCCCAATATAAGATTTATGTACAAACAACAGGGAATCTCTAGACTTAATTTCCCAACCTTAATTACTCCAGTAATCGTCAAGTAGCCTCGCCTGAAAGGTGTTGGTGGGCTAGCTGTCTAGTCGCAGACATTTTACTGACCACCTGATCAGTGACCCTTCAGCTGACCACTGGAGTCTATCAAACCACAGGAAATTGTAAGGAACCACAATACGAGGCAAATTTCTGGTCACAGGGTCAAAAATGCCGGTAAAGATCAAGTTATTAATCTCACTAAAGTTATAACGGTCCTATTTATGATCTATAACAATTTTTAAGAAGAGAATGGTAATTTGATTTTTGAGAAGAATTTGTATACAGGGAAAGTTGAGCTATTGATTATGGATGTTTCTGCATTAGAATATAGGCTGATTTAAATGTCAAGGTCATTCACAATAATTCAGGCATTTGGAGTTATTCAAGAAATGTAAAGCTTCATTTAAACCATACAAATGTGTGTTTGCAATGTCTGATTGACAATTCATTTACACATGTACTCCTCATAAATATTTGAAAAATTTATCTGATTTTTTCTTTCTTTCTGGAGCCCAAAAAAGAAATGCAAGGGCTTCACTACAATACAATCTGTTAACTCACTGATAAACGCTTCTCATGATTGGAGTTGATTAAATCCGACTCTCAATTCAACCAAATGAAAACAAATTTTTCTCAATTTCCACCTCATTTCACTCCCAAATTCCTACATTGAGCAATCAATTTAACATTAAAAGTGGTCGCGCGGACATCATCCGAGGTCTCGCTCAAAAAAAAAGAAGAAAATGTAGCCAGTCACTCCAAATTCATTCGCAATGAACAGAGAGTGTCCCAGACAATCTGAACAAGCTTTATTCCCAGCGATCTCTTTTTAAATTATTAGGCGACCCGACTCTACATTTTGAACCATTATCACTGGCACTCGTTGGTTAAACCAATTGATGAAACTCCATCAGACCCGGCCACTCTACAGGGGCGTTCGTCAGGGCGCGCTCGGCTTGATGCGCTACGTCTTCTGTGTTTTCTATAGCCATTGAATAATTCGTAATTAGTAGACAATTAGATTTAATGGTCCCCGGAGAAAGACCAGGAGGAAGGAACAGTGCGATGCATACCAAACAACACTGTTGCATGTGGAGGCTTGAGTAGACCCCCAATCACACGATCCCGGAAGAGTAATAAAATTGTAACATATTCAACAATTTAGTTATCTTGTCAAAGAAAATACCATCAAGGCATTTGGCATGTGAACTTATATCAAGTTTGCATCGGGAGAATATCTGATTTGCGAGGAGCTCGGGGACCCTACAGCATATTATGAGCCGCAGAAATAAAGGAAGAATATTTGCTAAGTCTCTTTGAAGAAAAAAAAGATCCCTGTTTCCGATTCAACTTTCGAATCTTGAGGATCACATGTTGCTTCAAGACTGTTGAACCACCAGAGACATAATGAAAAGAGAAATAACGTTTATCAGAGCAGAACTCCATCTTTGATAACAATAAGCTCGATTCAATCTGCAATACTTGTGAAATTTATATGTTTTATTACCTATAATTAGAAATACGAGATGAAATAAAAATGTTATGATAAAATCGAATCCCGATCGCCTGACTCGTATAAATTTCATTTCATAAACTTAATAGGTTGCATACATGACATGGCAATGTAAAACTGATACATAGGTTTTCATTTTATTGCTAGATGGTTTTCAAATAAAACATTCTGCACAAATACGGAATAAAAACTGCTCGTTAATGTCAGAGAAGAAACAGAAGAATATAAACGAGAGAGCGGATATAATTAAAGCGTCTGTCAGACAATCTACAAATAAAATTCAAAGATGAAAATTGAGCCTGGTCTCGATCAAACTCAATTCCAGTTAACATTTTCCCCCCGAACGGTTACGAAAAATTCAAGAAATCTCCACGGCATTACCATATATAATAGTTTTAGACGTCGCTTTGAAAGAGTCAGGCAACCCTATATCAATGCAGGCTATATGGCTGTGATAAATACATGGTGCGTGCGTTGTGATGGACGTCACGCGGACTACGCCCTAATATGGTCAAGTCAGGTAAACTTTTAAGAAACATGAAGAATCTGGCAGGAACAGGTCCCCAGGGTCCGTTAAAGAAAAATGTCTGTTTTGTGATTCTTGAGTCTCCATGCGTGTCCATGTGGTGTAAATTCCTGTGAAATTGGTCATTCTTTTTTTATTTCACATTTAAATGCATTCCTTTGACCTCGGATTTCGTTTTTGATGAAAGATGTTCTTCATCACCGTAAGACAAAGTACGATAGCTAATACAATACATGTATATCTCGGGTTCCCTTTGGTGAAAATGTTTCGAGATAGCAAAGGATAGATAGTATACGGAACGGTCAGACAATTTGTATATAGCATGGGTATAATAACGTTTGTTGTCTAGGCAAATTGACACTAACAGTGGAAACACGCTGGGTAAAGATCGCAGAGATGTCGGGATATCTAAGACACGACAACAATCAACCCTTAGAAGTCAGGTTCTGAATCGTAAAAAAAATCAGGATGAAAATCAACAGAGTTTGTACAACTTTCAGGGATCTAGAAATAACGGTTATACAAATTACTCGGCGAAAGTTTAGATCTCGATCATACTTATGCAATAATCTTGAAAGTTTGATTTAAATATAACATGGTAAATAAACTGTCGTCAGTTTTTTTGTTAAATTTATTGACAATAATTTTCATTCAGTAATAATTACAAGTGTAACTGGTCTAGTGAAATAGCTTGTACATATTTATGNCCACCCCCACCCCCACCCCCAAACACATTTATTAATACTTACAACCGCAGTCTTTAAGAAGCCTGCTAGCCTCTTAAAATTGTAATATCATGACTAGGGATGGTTGATGGGGCATATGGGGAACAGGAATCAGAATATAATGCATTATGGGTAATATCATACATTAACCAATCAAATCCAATGTAAACAAGCTATAATAATGGTGTGCTGCCATAAAAATTCCATCAAGACCTTTCAGAAAACGACCAAAACTAATCAGGTTTATGAAATAGGTACTGATGACAATCTTGCCACATTCTAATACAAGTCGTATACACCATTCAATGAGCGACGGTACATTTTTTTCTCGTCGCGTAGTAATTTTCAGTGACGGAGGCAAAGCATTGCGTATGAATTGACAACATACGACGAATAACAATAGTTGTGGAAATTCTGATACAATTACCGAGGTACCATCAAGTAACGTTTTTATATTAGTTTTTATATTCGTGTAAAAGAATGAGGTTATATTTACACCTGATAGTACTTAGTTTATGGGGCGACCAGGTGTTACAAGCATTGCCCCCTTAAACTGTGGACTGACAATGAATGGCTCAAGTGCAACCCAACTAATAGGGCCAGATGAAGTGTTTATTATTATATCTACCTAAAGATATTCCTTATCATCTGCAGATAGTGTATACATTTGTTTCATGTGTTGTTAGCTTTGAAGACAAAATTATCCATACAAGATATTGCCATATATATTGCAACTCACAATAAATTTTATCCAACATTGGCATCCAATGGTCACATGGACACAAGAAAGAAAAAATGAAATCAAAATATTTAAAATAAAACATTGAAAAATGGCAAAATGAAAAAGAAAGATTTTTGTTAAATATTTTGTAAGCTAACATAACTTTTAAACAAACTCCGGCTAATCTGGACAATTGAAAGCCATCATCGCAATTCAGTCACAAACTCACTTCAGCATCTTCTTGACACTTGATCTCAAGATACTACATACAGGGCAGATTCAAGAGTTTTTCTGCCCTATCATTTTGTTCAAGAGTCCAGCTGTATCTTCTCCTCCATCAGCAGAATGTTTTAATTTTAAAACTGAAGGATTTGGACCGTTATCTAAATCAGTTAATTGACCAGTCGTTCATAATTCATCAGAAAGGCATTTCATTGACCAAGATTTTTTACGATTTGTTATCGCACCTTCGACTGGAAAACCTTTAAACTTTTAAACACCTCTTGGGTGTACGATATTAAAACACTTGAGATGTGCTCATCAACTCAGATCACCTCGTCCACATCTATTGAAAGAATCTCATTTTTCATCATATCAAAGACCATCTTAATTGTTTATGAAAACCCTGAAGACACCTTTACCTTAATAGCTTGGTGGGGGATTTGTAACCCAATACCAAATTGTATCGGGGGTGCTAAAGTGGTCAAGAGGAAGAACTCAAGAAGGTGAGGTATGCGTCATTCATAATTTCAGGTTTTACGAAAAATATGAATTTATGCTTTTCACTGACTCATAAATAATCCGTTATTGCACGGAAAAACAAAATGCCAACAGCATGCTTCTGAGATATGATCTAACATTTCTCTCGCACAGCTAGAGACAGAAGAGGCCACAATGAATATGTTGATGGTCATTGAAGATTACTCTAGCACTTCACCGATAACAAAATG